ATAGTAGCAGTCCTGACGGGTGTGATGTGCTATTTCTCGCTGGGCTGTTGATTTGTATTCCCTGATGATCAGTGATGTTGAGCATCTTGTCATGGGCTTGTTGGCTGTCTGTCTCCTTTGGAGAAAGTTCTGTTCAGGCTCTTTGCCCATTGTTTGAATGAGGTTATTTTTGTGTTGAGTGATAGTAGTTCTTTGCATTTTCTGAGTATTAAACCCATATCAGATGTATGATTTGCTAGTGTCCTCTCCCATCCTGTGGACTGCCTGTTCTCTCTGTTGATGGTTGGTTGTGATGCACAATGGTATTTATTGTACACTTTGGTGGTTATAACCCAATATGACTTGGTTATTTTCTTGCTCATATGTTTCCAGCTTTGGCCCCTGGGAACTCTGTCAGGTGGCTGGGTTTACTTTATTCTTCCAATTTTACTGAAGTATAATTGACATACATACAGCATGGTGTAAGTTTAAGGTGTGCAGCATAATGATTTGATGTACATACATCAGATATGCAGATGACACCACCCTTATGGCAGAAAGCGAAGAGGAACAAAAGAGCCTCTTGGTGAGAGTTAAAGAGGAGAGTGAAAAAGCTGGCTTAAAACTCAACATTCAAAAAACAAAGATCATGGCATCCGGTCCCATCACTTAATGGCAAATAGATGGAGAAAAAATGGAAAAATAAAGTCCGTGACAGACTTTATTTTCTTGGGCTCCAAAATCACTGCAGACTCTGACTACAGCCATAAGGTTAAAAGACACTTGCTCCTTGGAAGAAAAGCAATGACAAACCCAGACAGCGTATTAAAAAGCAGAGTCATTTTGTCAACAAACATCTGTGTAGTCAAAGCTATGATTTTTCCAGTAGTTATGTATGGATGTGAGAGTTGGACGATAAAGAAGCTGAGCACCGAAGAATTGATGCTTTCAAACTGTGGTACTAGAGAAGACTCTTGAGAGTCCCTTGGACTGCAAGGAGATCAAACCAGTCAATCTTAAAGGAAATCAGTCCTAATATTCATTGGAAGGACTGATGCTGAAGCTGAAGCTCCAATCCTTTGGCCACCTGATGTGAAGAGCTGACTCATTAAAAAAGACCCTGATGCTGGGAAAGATTGTGGGCAGGAGGAGAAGCGGGTGACAGAGGATGAGATGGTGGCTGGCATCATTGACTCAATGGACATGAGTTTGAGCAAACTCAGGAAGATAGTGAAGGACAGGGAAGTCTGGTGTGCTGCAGTCCATGGGGTCACAGAGTCGGACACAACTGAGTGACTGAACAACAGCATCATGAACTGTGGCCACAATGAGTTTAGTGAGCATCCATCATCTCATATAGATACAAAATTAAAGAAATAGAAAAAAGCTTTTTTCCTTGTGGTGAGAACTTAGGATTTTCTCTCTTAACAACTTTCATACATAACATACAGAAAATTGATTACATTTATCATGTTGTATATCTCTAGTACTTTACTTTTCTAATAATTGGAAGTTTTTCCCTTTGACTGCTTTCCTCCAATTCCTTGTCCCTGCCCCCACCTGGATTTACCTTTATTATGTTACCTTTTGCTTCCTAGCTATGCTGCCTTTCTCTTATTTATTTTTATTTTTGGCTGTGATGTGTAGGGATCTTAGTTCCCTGACCAGGGATCAAACCCAGACACTTGACAGTGAGAGTGCAGTCCTAGCCACTGGACCACCAGTGAAGTTCCCGTTACACTGCTTTCTTATGCTTCTTTCTCCCTGCTTGTGTTCTACGAGGTACATTTTCTTTAGTCTTTTTTCCTTCCACAGATGTGGAAGTCACACAACCTATTTCTGTTATTTTAGTGGTTATTGTAAGTGTTTTACATTATATTTTAATCTCAGTCACTGGCACTGGCCATTTCCTGAACACTACCAGATCTTATGCTTGCATCCCTCTCCCTTCCGTGGTTGGTGGTCTGGGTTTGGGGTTTCTTAGACACCCTTTGTCCAGGCTGGGCGGCCCCCAAGCAGGCTGTGTGATAAAGGCTCAGAACGAGGGGAGGCCGGCTTTCCTTGGGGGTGAAGGAAGTAAGACGGGATGGAGGGGGCATTCCGAGAGCTGGGCTGAGCAGGGGGCTCAGTCCACCAGGACCTGGGGAAACTGTCACGGTGCATCTGTCACCCATGGGTGAGGAGGCTGGGGGTTTCAGCAGAGCCCAGGGTGACAGCCCCCATGCAGCAGCCCCAGGCTGGCTGAGTGAAGCTGTGGGGCTGAGTGAAGCCAAGGCTGTGGGGAAGTGTGGAGGGGTCTGAGAAGCCCTGTGTCCCCCATCCCCAGCTTATGCTTCAGACCCTAGAGGGAGCCCCCAGGCCTAGATGTGCTCGCCTGCCTCCTGCCGGCAGGGCCACCAGGTCCCTTTATCCACCCACGTCAGGCCCAACTTGTCCTCAGCTGTCTCAGCTGCAATTATGGGGCCTTTCCCCCACTCTGTCCCATGTGACCTACTGCAGGGACAGTCCCCACTCCTGGCACCTCGTGGCAACTGGGCAGCAAGGGACCCATCTCCAGAGCTCATGTGGTTGCAGCCTGGTCCTCCAGAAACTGACCCCGAAGTGGGGTCTGGGGTACAGGCTCTGTGTTAGAGGTCAGGTCCAGCTGCCTGCGAGAAGCCTTGGGCCAGCCATAGGCTCTGGAGGGAGCACCCTTCAGAGTCCTGTGTGGGGCCACAGTGTCTGGTGAGCCAAGTCTGTACCAGCGGCCACCCTGGAGGGATGGGGTGGCAGCGCCTGTGGGTTTCTTGTCTGGGAGCAGGTGACTGGTCTGCACTATGTGAGAGGAGGGGGCACTGAGGGAGGGCCTGAGGTCTCCCAGCTGCACACACAGTCTTTCCCCTCCACTGGCCTGGGTTTTCAGTGTGCGAGTGTCGCTCTTCTCTTTGGGAGCCCACAGCCCCATCCAGACCTGTCCAGAGAACATACCATGTGCCTTGAAGTAGGGGAGCCACCCCAGTACCTGTGCACAGACACCTGGGTGCAGGGAGCACACTGCTCTGGCCTTCCTGGGTCCCTGCTCCTGGTCACTGAATTGGTAAGGGTTCTGCAAAGAAACAGACCAGTGGGAGAGAGCAGGAGGGAGGGAGGGAGACCATCTTATTTCAAGGAATTGGTTCATGTGCTTGTGGCTTGTCCAGTACCTGGAGACCCAAGGAGGAGCTCCAGGCCAGAGGTGGTGTGCAGAGGGTCCCTTCTCCCCTGAGACCTCAGATTTTACCCTTAAGGCCTTCCACTCATTGGGTGAGACCCATCCACATTATCAGGGTCATCTGCTTTACTTAAAATCTATAGATTTAAATGTTAATCACCTTGGATTAAATCCCTCATGACTCCCATGTTCACTGCAGAATTATTCATGTAGTAAAGAGATGGAAGCAACTGAAATGTCCATGGATTGTTGGATAAACAAAATGCAGTCAGTCCATCCAGTGAAATATTATTCAACCTTAAGAAGGAAATATTGACACCTGCTAAAAGATGGATGAACCTAGAGGACATGATGCTGGGTGAAGTAAGCCAGACACAAAAGGACAGATCCTATCTCATGTCACTTATAAGAGGTCTCCAGAGGGGTCATATCCACACACAGAGAGGAGGAGAGTGGGTGTCATGCAGGAAGTGGGATGGGGAGTAAGTGTTTAGTGGAGACAGAGTTTGGGTTTGGGAAGATGAAAAGGTCCTGGAGGTCTGCTGCCTAAGGCCAATGTAGTTCATGCTACTGATCCGCACACTTGCAGTTAAGTGATACAACCATGGTGTGGATTCAGTTGCTCAGTTGTGTCTGACTCCTTGCGACCCCATGGACTGTAACCTGCCAGGCTTCTCTGTTCATAGGATTTCCCAGGCAGGAATACTGGAGTGGGTTGTCATTTCCTTCTCCAGAGGATCTTCCCGACCTCTGGGATCGAACCGGGATCTCTCACATTGCAGGTGGATTCTTTACTGACTGAGCTATGAGGAAAGCCCCCAAAACAGTTAAGATGGTTAATTTTATGTTATGGGTTTTGTACCACAAACAATACCAAAAAAGAACAAACAGAAAGACTGTGGTTCATAATAGATGATCAATATATTAGTTCTCTTTTTGAACAGCATCGAAACATGTATATTATCTAGGGTGAAACAGATAACCAGCCCAGGTTGGGTACATGAGATAAGTGCTCGGGCCTGGTGCACTGGGAAGACCCAGAGGGATCGGGTGGAGAGGGAGGTGGGAGGGGGAACTGGGATGGGGAATACATGTAAATCCATGGCTAATTCATTTCAATGTATAACAAAAACTACTGTAATGATGTAAAGTAATTAGCCTCCAACTAATAAAAATAAATGGAAAAATAAAATAAAAAAATATATATATTAGTTCTCTTTTTTGAGTAATAGGCGAATTTCACCACAGTAATCAATAAAAACATGAAAAAACACACCACAGCCACACCTAGATGAGTGTTTGGGAAAACAACTAGCCTTGCAGCCTGGCTATCGGATGCAAAACTGACGCTCAGGCCTCTTTCTCTACAGGCCCTTGTCCCCCGGCTCCCACCATTATTGTGTTGCACCCCCTCTCTGGTCCAGAAATATAGATGGGACCAGTTTCCTTGAAATGGCTTGTTAATTTTTGAGGGGAGCGGTGGGAAAGTTCTTCTCACCATCACACAGCCAGAAGCCATAACCGGGAGCAGCCAGGACGAAGGCAGGGCAGCCACAGCCGGCTTCTTCATCTCAGCCCAGGGCCACTGGCCTGGAGCCTGCTGGAGTCATTTTGTCCCCGTCAGCACAAATCTTGCGGCCTCAGCAGCTATCCTGGGCCTCAGCAGGCAGCGTCCCCGTGGCTTCCATACTCTGGCAGGCTGAAGGCCAAGGGCTGAGGCCCAAGGGCCAGCCAGGCCAGCGGGGGACAGGGCACACCCCACCTGCTCAGATTTGTCAGGTGGTCACAGGGCCAGGGCAGGTGTGTGTCTGCCTGTGAGACTCTGGGGGCCATGCAGGTGGTGAAGGGAACTGTGGGGGCCTATGTCTGTTCCTGGGGCAGGAGCTGGAGGGGAGATGGGAGCAGACCCTTCAGCCCCAGTTTGGAACCACACGCCTGCGAGTGCCATGACCAGGCCAGTAGGTCACTGCCTAGAGGGGAGACTGAGGACCTGGGCCCCAAGCTCAGGGGGGCAGAGCCACTGCCCCAGGCCAAAGTATGTGTGTGTGACTAAGGGTCAAGCACACACGTGCAGGGATGTGCGCTGCTGTGGCATCTTGTCACTAAAGCTGGCCACGGAGCTCCCCCGGGAGCCAGCTTTGCTGTTCCGAGTGAGAGGGGGGTCAGGTTTCCCTGAGAATAGCCCCTGACTGCCCAGGGGAAACCTGGCTTGACCTCCCTGTGGCCAGTCTGGCCCCCTGGTCCTGTCTGACCTGCACTCTCTTGCCCCCGGCTCATGGCCAGCTGTCTTCTCCTTGGACTGTGGACCTCCAGCCTCCTCTGCACAGGGTGGCCAGAGGGGGTCCCAAATGTATTTGTTTATTGATCTTGTCTTTAGAGGGTGACTGCAAAGTGCTGGCACCACGCTGGGCCCTGGGTCCTTGGGGATGCAAGGCAGTCACCTGGCCAGGGAGGCCATCAGCAAGAACCCTCACGAAGACGTGATGACAGCCCCACTGCAGCCTGGGCGGGGGAAGGCGGCTGCATGGGGAAAGGGGAACAGCCCCCTCACCTGCCCTGGCCCACAGTATCCATCCTTGCTGCAGCCCAGGAGGGCCTTGGCTAGGACCCAGGGTCGCAGAGGGAGCTCTGGGGTGAGGGGCTGCTCAGGCCATGAAGGGCCACATGGAGAAGGGTCAACTGTCCCAAAACAGGGCTGAGAGGATCTCCTGGCCATAAAAGGCTCTTGGAATCTGGGACCCCTGGGACCTTGGGCTGCTGGGCCCTGCTAAAACTCAGATGCCCCCTCTGCCCCTTGAACTCTACCCACAGCAGCCTGTGTGCCACCGTGCAGGGTCCTCTCATCTGCCACAGATATGGCAAGGCTGCTATGGGTGCCTGGTGGAGGAGCCCCAGTGGGCTGGCTGGGTGGCCCAGCGGGAGCTGGGGGCAGCGCCCGCGGGAAAGGGTGGGCAGGCCTCTAGACCTGGGGATCAGCTGGGGCTGTGCCCGAAGGTGTAAGGGTCTCTGGGAACCTGAGGAAGAAGTCCAATGAATCTGGACAAGAGCACAGATTCCCCAAGGCCAGGCCCTGCCAGCCACTGGGGCTGCCCTTGCTCTGGGGGGCCAGGTCAGAGCAGCCCTTTCTGAAAGTTGCCATGGCGGTGAAAGACGGGGTGGCCAGGTGCTGGGCTATCCCTCTGGGATGCCAGAGCAGGCTGGGGCTTTCACCCTATCCCCCGGGGAGACTTCTTCCACATTGGTCCATGGTGTTCTCCCCCGGTCTCACTGGGTACCCACTGCTGCCCCAACTGCTCTCACATGGCTGGTCTGCCCCAGCCCTGGCTCCTTCACCCCCAGCCCCAGCCCTGGCGTCCTGCTCTCCCTTCAAGATCTGCCCCTCGTGCCGCCTTTTCTGAAGCCTGTTTTGGGCTGGGGCTGAACGCCGTGGGCCTCGTGTCCCAGGCCCTTCAGCCTCCCCTGGACTGAAGGGGTGGAGGAACCCCTGGTGAGTCTGGGCTGTTGTTCCCACAGACGGAGCGCCTGTCACAGGGCAGATCAAGGATTACAAGGGGGTCTCTGAGATGTTCGACGAGGAGGGCAAAGGGCGGGTGAAGACGGATGAGCTGGAGCAGCTCATGAGTTTCCTGGGCATCAACTCCACCAAGAGTGAGTTGGCCTCCACGGCCAAGGACGTGGACAGAGTTAGTGAGGCTGACAGGGACAGCTGGGGCAGGCAGGGGTCCCCTGTGCATGACGAGGGGTGCGCCACCCTCACCGGCCACTTACTCCCCACAGAGAAAGGGTTCTTCAACTGCAGCAACTTCCTGGCCCTGATGGGGGGTGTATTGGGAGAAGGCCCAGAACCAAGGGTGAGCTGAGGGCAGCCTTCCGCGTCTTTGACAAGGAGGCTAAGGGCTACATTGACTGGGACATGATCAAGTAGGGCCCAGGCCAGGTGGGCGCGGGGCAGGGGGCCGGCGAGGTGGGTGCCCTGCTGGCTGCTGCTCAGTGCAAGGGGGGCCCCTGCAGGTACGTGCTTATGAACGTAGGTGAGCCCCTCAATGAGGTAGAGGCTGAGCAGATGATGAAGGAAGCCGACGAGAATGGGGATGGGACCCTCGACTACGAGGGTGAGCAGAGGATGGGCCCCGGGACCCTGGAGGCTGGTCAGTCTGGCCGGGCTGCTGACCTCTCCCTCTGCTCTCAGAGTTCATGGCATGATGACTAGGGAGTCCTTCAAGCTGGTTCAGTAGGAGGACCCAGTGGGGCTGAGGGAGGTCTGCTGGCAGAAGCCTGCTACCCGCTACTGCCCACCCCACCCCAGTTCCGCAGCCAATAAATACTCCAGCCAGACTCATGTGTACATCACTGTCTTCAGGCTGGAAAAAAGGGACTGCAAAGCTGTGGGTCTGGAGAAGGTAGAGGGTTCTCCCGAGTCGACCATGGCACTTGGCCTGTCACTTCTATGGGATACCTGACATGGCCCACAGCCCAGTCCTGGGCTCTGGACAGCAGGTGGGCTCTGGAAGGCCAGGCTGGGCCTAGGTCGAGGACCATACACCCTGCCCTTGGCCCTGGGAGGTGCTGCCCAAGGGCCCCTCCTGGGGCCCTTTCCTCCGTGCAGAGATCACTTAGATACAAACTTTATTTTCTTTCTGAGAAGCTGCGGACATCACAGCAAGCCCTGAGCCCTGAGGCTTAGGCCTGTGGGGCCTCCTCTGGGCCTGCTGGGGCTGGGCTAGGGGCCAGGGCTGGATGTAACAGCATGTGTTTGTGGCCAACACAGGGCCAGTCAGCTTGGCTGTCCAATGTTACATAGCAACGAGTCCAGGGCCGCAGCAATGTGCTGGATGGCTGGACTTCCTGGGGAAAGGACGGTGGGGATGCGCTGGGTGCCCTTGCACAGTCCCCTGTGAGCACAGAGGAGCCAGTGGCATTGGGAGGCTTGGGAGAGCTATCCTGCCCCCTCTGTGGGACACCAGGGCCACAGCCAGGGGTGCTGAGCATTAGGGTCTGGCTCCGGAGTCCTGGAGGGGTCTCGAGGCATGAGGCCCCAGGGGAGGCTGGGTTACAGGGAGGGAGGTGGCTCCTCCTGTCTGGTCTTTGTCATCTTGACGACCTCCTCATAGGAAGGCGGCAGCTCAGGGGCGTACAGCCTGTAGGCTGGAGGGGTCATGGAGTTGAGGTCCAGCTCCCCGAAGGGCAGGGGTAGCTGCATGCCCAGCGGGCACTGCACGAAGCTGTAGGCTGCAGGGACCCAGGATGGGTTTGTGGGGGTGGGCCTGGCCCTCACCGGTACCCTGCCACCCCTGCAGGTGGGTGGGCCACCAGGAGAGGTGTGCCAGCACTCAGGTCACAGTGCTATGCACCGGGCTGTCACTGTCCACGGGGATGGCTGTCAGGTCGCAGGGCTCAGGTGCCAGCGGCAGGTGTGGCTGCGTGTGTGCCTGCTTCCGGAGGTGGCAGAATCGGACACAGCTGGCTGAGACCCCACAGGGCAGCAGCAGAAGGGCAGTGAGCAGGATAAGCCTGGGCAGGGAGGAGCAAGACCCCTACCTCTGGACTGCTCCCTGGTCTCTGGGCACCTGTTTCCAGGGGGCAGTCACAGCCCAGTTGCTCAAGACAAAGCAATGCACAGGATAAAAGAACCAGGACTGCCTCTCCAGGCCAGACACCTCCTTCCTGGCTAGAGTTGGGCCTGAGGATCTGGCTTGGCCTGGTCTGCTGCTGGGCCTGCCCTGGCTGTCTCTCCAGGGCTGGCCACAAGTGGCCTTGGGTTCCTTCCCAGGACACACTGCCCCAGGCCAGCTACAGATTATCGTGCTCCATTCACTCCTCCCACAGGGATGAGGAGTGAGGGAATGGGAAGTGGGCTACCAAGGGAAGTCAGTCAAGGGCCCAGGGGTGTCCCCAGCCATGAAGAACTCAGGCAGGACCCATACCGGATGTTGCCTGGGTGCTGGGAGAGGTGTTATACCCGATGTCCAAATCCCCGAGCGGGAAGACAGAAGGCCTCCAAGACAATGCAACTCGCAAAAAGGGAAGTTTATTGCTGACTCGAGTCAGGGCTCCTGCCGCATCCAACGCAGTGGTGTGGGGTCAGAGAGCCCTGAGCCCAAGCTGTTACACAAATTTATAGGGTGAGCATAAGCAGTTGGTAGCTGGCTTAAGCGGATTGGTTACATGTTTGCAAAGCAATTTTATTGGTCCAAACTTTCGCCGGCTTTTTTCAAACTTGGGCGTTCGTGGGCTTTTTAGCTTTCCCCTGATATCCTTTTCTTACTGGGCGCATGTTGATGGCAGCCTCACAGAGGAACCTGGGATCCGTATGCCAGGCTGCTGGGGGCCTCAGAACCTTCCCGCCAGCGGCCCAGGATGGGAACAGTGGTGGTGACTCTTCAGCCGTGGAGGCAAGTGGGTGGGGGCCTGGTGGGACTGGCCCAGGGGAGGACCGTAGCACCCAGCTGCACGCCGCGCCCTCCACTTACCCCACGTGCCACAGGCTGCTCCAGCTGGCCTGGGGCGGGCACCTCTGGGACGGCGGCACCTGGAGCCGGTAAGGAAAGGCCAGGCCCACTGTCCCGCCGAGCCTCCCCGCGGGAGGACCCCGGGTGCCCCTTACCCCCGCTCCCTCCCTCCGCCCAACCCCTCTCGCCGCCTCCCCGCTCCGCCGCCCCCGACTTACAGGTCGCAGCTGCCTTCCACGAAACCCAGTGCCACCTGCGGGGACACGGGTGAGCCCGGGCCATGGCGCGCCGAGCGCAGACCCGCCCCGCGGTGCCGGAGCCGAGCACCCCGCGACCCACCTGCGGCAGTGGCAGGAGTGGCGGCAGCAACAGGAGCCCGCGGTCGGCCAGCGCCCGGGAGAACCTGCTCAGCGTCGACAGACGTAGCGAGCCCGGAGGCCCGGCGGCAATATGAGGGCCACGCCCCTGGGCCGCTCCCAGCGCAAACCCCGCCCTCCAGAGACTGCGTCCATTGGAGGATTGGCCTTGTAGCCACGCCCAGGTCCCTCGCCCTAACCCTTCCCCCCAGATCAGCCGCGCCTCTAGAAGCCCCGCCCCCGACGGGCTTGGCTCGCCGCAGGTCCTTGGTTACTTCAGGGTCCCGCCCACGCAATTCCCGCCCCATGGTCCTCTCACCAGGTCCGTCCACTCCAAGTTTCCTTAGCATAGGGTCACAGGGTGGCGGGCGGTCTTGCCCTTTGGCGTCCTGCAGTCGGGCTCAGGGTGGACGGACGCGTCCCATGGACAGTTATGCTTGGGTGTGGCCTCGGAGGGTGGCGGCCACTCCTCTCACACACCCGGGAGCTCAAGTTCAGGGTTGCAGCAGTCAAGACGCTGGGGCGTTCCAAGAGCGTAGTTCAGCGACATTAATTGTGCACGCTCGCTGCCCTCTGCCCTCTGCTCCTCCGTCGGGCGGTCAGGCTAAAGGAATTGGTCCGCGTGGCAAGGGGCCTTGTCTGGGGAGGGAGGTAGAGGACGCTGCCCTGCGTGTCTTTCTTCACTGCAATCAGGTCGCGCTCCTCAAAGCGTCTACCCCCTGGAGGGGAACTGACTGTAGCTCTTTGAGGGCGGGGTCTCCTCCGCTTGTGCTGCTCCGATAGCTCAGTTGGTAAAGAATTTGCCTCCAATGCAGGAGACCCTGGTTCGATCCCTGGGTAGGGAAGATCCTCTGGGAAAGGGATAGGTTACCCACTCCGGTATTCTTGGGCTTCCCTTGTGGCTCAGCCTACCCACTCCAGTATTGTGGCCTGGAGAATTCCATGGACTGTATAGTCCTTGGGGTTGCAGAGTGGGACACAGCTGAGCGGCTTTCACTTTCACCTCCTCAGCTTGACTCTATCCTGGCTGCACTTGCCAGGCCCGTTGCATAGGCTCTGTCCTGAAGCTATCCTGTGCCTCCAGGCTGAACGGTGGCCCCCAGCTACCCTGCTCCAGCCAGGCTCCTGGCTCAGGAGTGGGAAGGAGAAGGATGGGCAGAAGTGCAGCCAGCATGCAGAAGTGCAGGCAGGACCTGGGCCAGTAAATGCCAAGGCCCGCTGGTTCTAAACCCCAAGTGTTTAGAAGAGAGGGGCCTACCAGGGAGGAGGTGGGGCAGTGCCCTGCAGGGAGGACTCCGGGGCCTGACCTGGCTGTAGGACCTGGATTTCTCTCCCATCTGGTGAGCAGCAGCCTGGTGAGGGTCTGCCCACCGGATAGAAGTCCCACAAAAGGCTGCTCTGCGGCCATTGTTGTGGGCTCAGGGTTAGGGAGAGGGCAGACTTCCAGATGCCAAGGGCACTGAGGAAGTAGGGTGAGGACTCCAGGCTGGTGTCCCGAGGCCTGTGCCCAGGAGAAGCCCTGGATGCAGCTGACCCTCCACTCCTGCCAGGGAAGGCTGCATTTGGTCGCCTAGGGCTGGCACAGGTTGGGCATGCTGGGCTAGTACACGGGGCCTGGCTGGGTGAGCTCTGTGGGGACAGTGTCTACCCTGCCATTCTAGAAGGCAGGGGCTGGTGCAGGTACCATTCTGAGCTCCCAGCAAGGTCTCCTGGGCCGGGAGAGGGGGCTTCTCCCTTGAAGAGCTGGTCAGGACCCAGAAGGCTGAGCCTGGACTCACTTCAGAACACTGGAAAACCAAACTGACAGGTGGGCCTCCCCAGAACCCTGACTGGGCTGTGCAGGAGGATGCAGTGAGGGCTCACTCCTTGCTTGGGGCCTCAGGGACTTGGGAGCAGCAGGGGGGTAAGGGGCTGCCTGGACTTTGGAGTTAGCAGCCCCCACCCTGCTCGCTGGCCTCTCCAGGTGTGGGTTGGCCTCAATTCCACCCCTACCCCCCACCAGCCGTTTCCCCAGGGCTCTAGTTGTCTAGGCTGAGTTCATTGTTTTATGGGCTGACTTGTGTGTGTGGGCAGGGGCAGCCCCCCACCTGCTCACTGCAGCCCACACTGCAGGCATAGAGGCACAGATTCACACAGGGTTTATTGGTTTATTGACAGGTCTGTGGGGGCAGCTGTTCCCCACCAGGACCTCGAAAGTCTGGGTGGGTGCTGGTGGGGCTGGGGACCCGCAGGGCTCAGGTTGGGAGCAGGCTGTGGTCAGGATTGGCCTCTTTGCTGGTTCTGACATGGGGCTGGGATGGGAGCTGGAGCCAGGACAGCAGGAGTGCCCCGGGGGGCCATGCAGGAGGCTGCCCTTTTGAAACTGCCCAGGTTCCAGGCCCCTGGGTGGTTCGGCCTTGTCCACAGACCCGGGGAAGGCTTCGAGAGTGGCAGGAAGATCAGGGGGCTCTGTGGAGAGACTCCTGTGGCCTCAGGGGCCGGTCACCACCTGGGCTACAAAGAGGACCTTGTAGGTCTCCTTCACATCCCCCCTGAGCTGCAGCAGGGCCGATGCCATGAGTGGGTGGTCCGGCTGGAAGGGGAGAGGTGGGAACAGAGGGGGATCCTCAGTCAAGGGGTGCAGCAGGCACGTGTTTTCTCTTGGCGGCACTGCCCACCTCGCCCGCCTAGGCCCCCAGCCCTTTCCTGGGGGAGGGGGGCGGGCTCCCAGGCACCCACATCAAAGTCGATGGGCGGCATCCAGGAAATGCTGATGGCCTTGGTCTGGCCACGCTCCACAGAGCCTTTGGAAGGTTCAACGGTGAAGCCCTTGTGCTGCAGGGCCACGATGTTGTCCATGCTGAACTCAACAGTCTGCAGGCATTGGTGCTGTCAGCGGGCAGGCGGGCAGGCACAGCTCCCAGGAACCAGCACTCCTGCCCCCTGCCCTAACCAGCAGGCTGCCCACCCCTCAACTACAGAGAGGCAAGGCCAGCAGAGGCCCAAGCTGCCCAGGCAGTGGTGGCTGCAGCGGTGCCAGGGAGGCCAGGGCAGTGCTGTGGTCACCTTCTTTGCAGACAGCTGGGTAGTCCGGATGCAGCCCACCTGCAGTTCTCGGGTGGCAGGTGGGGCCTGTGTGTCTGGGTCCAGCTGGGCGTAGTCCAGGGTTACCAGGATGGGCTTTAGCTCCTCAGCTTCTGGAGAGGGAGGGCCTGGCGGGGGTCTCGGGGGTGGGGGTACCACGGAGGGAATGCGGGGGTCCCCGGGGTCAGGCAGGGATCCTCTGAGCAGGGCTGGCCCACTAGCCCTGCCCCCACCTGTGGGGGATGGGCCAGAAATGCCTGCCCTCTCTGCAGACTCAAAGGGCCAAGCGTCCGCTTCTGCCACCCTGCCCACCTCGGGGCTCTCCGCCCTCAGAGGGCTCACCCTCTCTGTGCTCCAGGTCAAAGGCAGGGATCATGGTCAGGGACTCCACAGGCACATCCAGGGGGTCTCCGCCCTCCACGAACATCATGTGCTCGCGGGCCGCGCCCTTCAGGAGGATGCAGTGGGACACTTTCTGGGGGCAGGAGTACAGTGGTTTGCGACCCTGCGTGTGGGGCTCTGGGAGGGGGCGGGGCTGTGATGTGGGCCTGTGGGACCCCAGACATTGGTCTCTCCACCTGATGACCCCCAACCTGATGTGGAGCCCCCCAGGCACCAAGCTCCAACGTGTGGCCGCTCAGGCAGCTGAAAGGCTTGGACAAGTGTACATTTGGGTGGGGAGGAGGGCTCCAGGCTGGGTCGGAGTCCTACCTTTTCAAAGAGCACGACCTGTAGCCGGTCAGAGAAGTACAGGCTCTCATGGTCTGGGCTGAAGGTCACAGTGAAGTCCTGAGCCTTGCCGGGCTCCATGATGCCCTTGGCTGGGACCACACTGAACACACTCTGGCCACTGTAGTTCTGGGTGCCTGGGAGCAAGGCGGCCAGGCTGGTCAGGATCCCCCTGAAGCGCCCAGCACCCCCTGGCCACGCCCCCTCCATGGCCCACATGGTCCCCCCAGCTGGCCAGCTTACCCACGACTTCCGTCCTCTGGTCCGGCGAGGCCAGGAACTGTGGCAGGCGGTGCTGGTCTCTGCTCCTGGAGGAGAGGCTGTCCAGCTGCATGGAGAACTTGATGGGCAGCAGGGAGTTGTTCTGCAGCTGCGGGGAGCAGGGCTGGGTCACTGGGGCAGCTGGGCTGGCCAGCTGGGGAGCAGGCCACTGCCACCAGGTCTCAGCCCTCTCCTGCTCCATCAGGCTCAGGTTAGTCTTCAGTTGAACCAGCATCCCACCCCAGTTCTCTCCTGCCTCCCCCTGTTCCCGGGAGAATGCTGCATCCCTCTAAAATCCCATGGAATCAGGCCCTGGGGTCTGCTGTCAGAACCTGGACTAAGCTAAGTAAAGAAGCAGGGGTCCCATTGGCAACTTCAGCCCAAGGCCACCTCAGATGCGGGGGAGCAGAAAAAGCCAGGCCCACCTGCCTGCGTGGGGATAGGAGCCCACTTGGCCCCTTGAGGGGGATGGCCTACATCCCATGCAGAGGCCCTGGGGCAGAAAGATGGGAGCAGTGAGAAGACATGGGCAGCAGCGGAGGGGCGGAGGAAGGGGCGTCCTCAGCACCCCCTCCCCACTGGCTGGAGGGGCCAGTGGAGTGACAGCTGCTGGGGGTGGTGGGGGAGGGGGCGGTAGAGCGGCCTCTGCTGGCTCCCTGACTGAGGCAGGGTGGATTCCTCCTGGGAACCTCTCCCAGGCGATGGGCAGCACCAGGCCCCGCCATATGCTTTACCTTGAAGCCCAAGGAAACAGACTCTCTGGCGATCACATAGCCCATGTTGAGGACGTCACCTTCAATGGAGCATGTGATCGTGGATGCCACACCCGTGCCCATGAGGGCCAGGGACAAGGTGCCTTTCTTGGTGATGATGTCCAGTGTTTCTTGGGCCTGCAGAGACCACGTCCCTTAGCGTGAAACAGACGCTGGCAGAGGCAGGTGTGGGAGCTCTGTCTTGGAGCAGCTGGGTCAGGGCATGGGGGACCTGAGATGGCTTGGAGCTCCCTGGCCACCACCTCCTCCTCCTTCCAGTGAGAGGCCAGGGCCCAGGAGGACCAGTGGCTCCCAGGCCCAGAGTGCTGGATGGCATGTAGAGCAGGGAGTAGGGCTGCGATAGAGCTCGGGTGGGCTGGGACTCACCAGGATACTCTCACGCGGGGAGAAGGACAGATCTAGGACCTGGGTCTCGCCAGAGGGCAACCTCATGGTGGGGTTCAGCAGGACGAAGGGGCCATCAGGGTTCAGCATGGAGTACT